TATATGTTTTTCTCTGTTTTACGGTTGCCGCGTAATAGGCTTTGACATATAATAATTTAATTAAAACAAACAAACTTTATAAATTTTTTTCAATAAGATGGTATAGAAACATTTGTATGGCGTCGGTACTGCAGTCTCTCTCTCTCTCTCTCTCTCTCATCAGAATTTTTAAGTAGCTAAGTATTGTAGAAAATTCTGTTTTTCCCGATTTGCCACGCCCCTACTGGGCGTAGACACCTCAGTTTTGTCAGTGCTTAAAACGAGCTAACATGCCAAAAGTGCAAAATTTGAATGCTTACGCTCAAAATTACAGGCTATTTTTCGATATATCACGCCCCTAAAGAGGCGTAAAAATTATATTTGGGGCATCGATAGAGGAGATTACTAGTAACCTAACTATCTAACTTCTAGCTGTTATACATTAGGAGATATAAACCTTTCCGGTTTGCCACGCCCTCTGTCGGTGGACATATATCCGTCGATTTTGGTTTTAAGTGGTTAACCCGACCCGGTCTCTAGCATAAATAGTGTCCAAAATATAACAGAATTTAAAAAATCACTATATCTTCAGGTCCGATTTGCCACGCCTCTAATGGTCATAGACATATAAGTTATTAGACTTTATAGAATCATAACATTAGCTTACGTGTAAAATTTCGGCGTTCTAGCTGTAAGCCTCTTGGAGATACAGTTTTATCCGATTTGCCACGCCGACAATGAGCGTAGATATATCTGCCACAGCTCGTGATCTTGGGTGGTCGACACGGATCCACATTCCAAAATTCAGCATTCTAGCCCTTCAACTAATATGATTTTCTGCATATCGAAAAATGCTTTTTCCGATTTACTACGCCCCTAGTGGGCGGATCAGGAAAATTTTATAAATCAGAAATATACCCGAGTATGTGCTCCAAATTTCAAGTCCCTAGCTTCAATGGCGCCGAAAGTTGCGTTTATACGGGCAGACGGACAAGACGGACATTGCACAAAACCAATGTACTAATTCACTTTCGTGAATGATTATGAAAATAAATTAAAAATAAGCAGCTTTTTGTTAAAAGCGAAAACGTACTAAGCGGAGGCTTTTACATATAAGTTTGTATGGGAACCAACCAAGACATCGAATTTTCGTCGACATAACCGCTTTAAGCGGAGTCGCTATATCCGGATTCCACTGTATATACAGATTCAAGTGGCAGAAGTCAAGTCTCTATATCAATTTTAGTTCCAATCGCCCATCAATCGAACTATTCGAACTTGTCAAAGTCAAGACCCTTTTGCAAGCGATACTTTTCTCTTGAATGACTTTTTGCGTATGAAATTGGGAGCTAAAGATACTTACTTAGATAACAAAGATATGATCTTGCGACTTATGCCGTATGCGTTCAGCAAAAGGCAGATAAACAGCATGAAGCCTACGGTGATCATGTAAACAATCTCCTGCAGCACACCTGGCGGCTCCCAATCAAAAAAGTCACTCACGCCTTGAAATTGATCAAACATAATAGTTAATAGATAAAATCGTATATAATCTTACTTCTATACTCACTGCAACACATGGGCACGAGCTCGCAGATAATGATGGGCGGCAGCCCGGTTAGCTTGTCGCAGGCAGCTCGCGTGGCCGTGTTTGAGCTGACCTTGTGGATGCCCATGGCGAGCGAGAAGTGCGGAAAGATGCGGAATATATTATTTAGCCAATTCGCGACAGTTTTCGATTCGAACAACTCGCTGGACATTATTATGACTACTGCGAATATGGCCATACCAGCGAAAATGTTCAGAATAACGATACGCGCAAAGCCAGTGGCGGCATCTTTAAAGGAATACGACAGGAAATAGGTGAAGGGCAAGACGGCAAATCCAAAGATCAGCATCAGCAAAAAGATGCGACCCAGCTGATCAACAGTACTGAAGTTTTCTTCCTGGAAACAAGCTAGCGTCATAGTAGCAATAAAGGCTGTTACAGCAAAGGTCAAAATGTCCCAAATAAAATGAGACATCCAAAAGATC